CTCAGGGGTGGGGGAGAGAACAGAAGGGCAGCCTCCTCAATGAGCTAGGCAATGCATCAAGTGCAGAGGTTTCCAGAGCCAGAGTGAAAGAATGCGATCTGCTTCTGCAGCAAGGTGCCGCACACTGCTTCATCCATGTGTTCCTGAGAAGGGTCTAAATAGAATTCGCACAAGAAAGCAAGCCAGTAACACAGAATTTGGAAATGTTCTGGCGCCAGGCAATAGTCTGGCCCATGTCTTTATTTTATGTGATTCTCAGAACAGTCTTGATAGCCCATATCGCCTTCCTCCAGGGACTCCCAGCCCAATGCAGTCTAGCAGTCACTTTCATGGTACAGGGGAGACAGCGCTTCACCAAGCAAGCATATCACTGCCAGGCCACAGATGGAAGAGAGGGAAATAGCACTTGGGGAAGCCAGAAATACTTGCAAATCCCTGAAATGTGAACTATGGTAGGAGAAAGCATATGATGTGCATGTATGTATATAAGATATGAGGTTTAGAAAACAGAGCAGACAAAAAAGGCTCTATTCCTTGAGAGATGAAGCTTGGCCCACCTGTTGGGGAAACTCAGAAGGGGCCTGAACATGAGTGTAGAAGGTGAGGGTGAAGAGCTTTGTGGTAGAAGGGAGTGAGGCCAAGAATCAGAGGAGCTCTAAGCCATCCCTGAGAGGCGTGTGCCACTGTGCCCAACTATGATATTCCTATATGTAAAATAACTAGTAAAACTCATGGGGCTAATGCCTAATACATGTAAAAACTCATGGCCCATGATTTACTTTACACTACTTAACATAAAAGGTGCCTCACATATTTTACCGTGAACTGTCTTCAGGATAACGCTGTCCTACTGCTTCTTGGAGCTGGACATTAAGAAAAGAAACATTCTGCCAGGTTTCCTTTTCTCTTATTTTATCAAAAATTGATGTGTAGAAGTCATACATGGTATCTCCACCCTCCATTAAGAAAAAGTTTCTCATGGCCTGCAAGTACTCAACCAATCTGAATGGAGAGAAGATAGGGACAGAAAGATCTTTTAAGTTTATAAGGCAGGATTCTAGATCAATTCCAGATTTGGTACACCACCACCTTTATGAAATAGATTTACATTCTACATTTATTAAAATTAGAAATATTAAAGACTTTTTTCAATAATAAAATAGTATAATAACTAGAAACAAATACTTTTCTATAACATTACAGAAAATTAGGCAAAGTCACAAATATGAAATGAAATGAACAAAAACCAATCCAAATGCTATCATCCATTGTGAATTTCTTTATTTTGGTACTGGGATTGAACCAAAGGGCCCTTTACTACTGAGCTACATCTATACCTAGCTCTTTTTTTTTCCCCCTTTTTTTAATTTTTAAATTTTGAGAAAGGGTCTCACTAAATTGCTAAGATTGGCCTTGAACTTGCAATCCTCCTGCCTCAGCTACCCAAGTCACTGGGATTAACAGCGTGTGCCACCATGTCTCCATGGTGAATTTCTGCTGTTAGTACATTTTAATGTATTTTACTCCAGTCTTTCCTCCAATGATTTTTAAAATATCTAATTTTTATCATATGTATCCTGCCTTTTAAGCTATAAGGACAGTTTATGTTATTTAAAACTCTGTATTGACATAATTTTTATGAACTTTATGAAGTTTATACATGTTCTTTACATGTGTACACTAGTCCTTTATACACGTCCTTTACAGTTTACACTAGTCCTTTACCATAGTTAAAAGAACTAGTCATCTATTACCAAGTAGTTTCATGTTTTTCATCCTAATAGCCAATTTTGTGATGAGCGTTTTTGTATAAGTTCTTTGGGACAGATTCTCAGAAGTAAATAATTAAATTTCACAACACAGATAAGAATATATTGATGGCTAACTGATCCCAACTGGATATGTGCTTACTACATATCCATTTCCTATTCTAATGAAAACTAACTTGAAAACAGATTTTTAAATAATTTTATATGAGGCCCTGGGCTGGATTCCTAGCACTGAGCATCCCTCAGAAAAACCAAACCAAAACAACCCAACTGTTCTTAAAAGGACAATAAACTACTATTTCCAAAACCAACTTACTCCTGGTTACCTGTAATCTTTTTTTAAGGTTTGCATGAGATTTCCACAACAAGCTAGGTACTGCTTATCAATATGAGGATAGAGGCAAGACCTCAATGTTAATTCAAAAGTCTGGCAAGTTACAGATTCTGATGATCTATCCACACATATGTCACCACCAGCAAACTTCTCGTGAAAGTCACTCTGCTCCAAATACAACCTTGAAAATAAAAATGTGAGGCTTCAATTTTCATGCGCTGTTGTCAACAGAATTCTCTTAAAACCCAGAGTCCTACTTTTACCTTTTGTCTTAAGATTAGCGATTCTTACAGGAAGAAAACCCTTTCTCCCCAAAACATCCTTTCAGAGTTGTTGCCACCTTTAAGGTCAGGTTCTGGGGTTGGTCCTTCCATTAGGGTTGCATTCAGCAAATACTGGTCATCAGACAGTATGACACCATGTGGACATTAATGGCTTATTCCATTGAGCTAAGTGCCTAAAAGCATCTTAAGCCCAAGACACATTTTATACACAGGAAGACCCTGACTCAGTGTGTGCCCAATGTCTGCCCAGACTTCAGGAGCATATTTGGGTAAGCCATAGCACTTTTGGGGGCCTAAGGGTATGGAGACACCAGCAAGGCCAAATTTGTAAACTTTTGCACACAATGAGAAGGACCAATTATATATCTTACATAGGTAAAGGCATATTTTCTTGCATTCTGTTCATTAGGAAGGAGAGGCTACAAGGGTTTTTGTTTTTAATTCTGGAAAGCCCTACCTGGCAGAAATAAACAGTTACTAAATATTGTATAGATGTTGCCATTTCAACCTCTGAAAATCTTGCAGGTGTGTATCACCTTGCAAAGTTAATGGCCAGCAGTGGGTCATGAATGTCATCCAGTTCAAGATGCCTTTCAGCTATGGACTGCATCTTAATTAGGTTCTCTTTGGTTGCCTGTTGATCAGTAAGGACCTGTGGAGTGGAATCTTCTCCACGTCGAAGACGTGACTGTACAGATTCCAGAAAGAGGGTGTATAAGCTTTTTCTGTCTGCGTCTGAAATATGAAGAAATATGTAAGGTAAATCGTGTTCTCATAAATACTATCAACAAATATGGAAGACTTTCATCTTAATAAAGCTTGGTATTTTCCTTTGGTTTATGAAGGACTATCCCTATTTCTTTTACACTTGTACAGCAAAACTAAACATATTATATCCTGTTAAACAACTGAAAAGCTCATGGTTAAATACAAGCTGATTTTATTCTGAACAAAGTTAATATCTGAAGCAGGATGCTTGAAAGGTAAGTTACTACCATACTGTATAATGCTACAATAAGACTTGTAGGAATCAGATTTCACTGGAAAAAACCCTACCAACACTGGCCCTGGATAGCTCTTAATAGCTTACTGTTCAATTAAAAAAGAAATACTGTGCAATGTAAAAATATTATTTAAAGTAGATATGATAAACTGAAATAATATAATAATACTGAGGTGATTTATAAGCTAAATACATCTGGTCACATCTGACTTTTAAGCCTTTCTAGTCAGCTGATTAAATATTTAAGTAAATTACTTAAATTGTTTTAAAAAAACACAAAAATCATATAAAGATTTTCTCAAACTCTATAATCAAGTCTGAACTGCTCACTGGAAAATTCCTCTCTGCCAGAGGCCATGGTGCACAAGAGTTAAACACTGCACTGAACCAAGAAATGTGAGAAAATTATATTTTTAAAGAACCAGGTCTAAGGAATCGAGAGTGAGGAATTTATTATTACTGTCTTTCTAAACAAAATGCTAAAAGTTCCCAATGAGGACAATCAGTTTTTCAATCAAGAGTACCATGATAATTCATTCAATCATGGTGTAAATTCCATTAAAATAAAAAGCTCCAGTGATTTTCAAACTACGAAATAGTAGGACTCTCAGGGTGATAGGAGTGATTGGGGAGCAGTGGACTGGAGGAGGGTGAGATGGGCTACCTCTGGCTGCCACCTGGCTCGCAGTGCTCTCCGCACACCTCAGGTTCTTCAACAGCTGCATTGACTTGCCGGCCATTATGATTTGCTTGAGGACAGGCTTGAGGAAGGACACCATGGTGTGCTGCCTGCTGGAGGGACCCTGGTCACTGCCAGAACTTGCGCTAGCATTGTCATTCATTTTTTCTTCATTCTCTGTCTTTTCTGATACACTATATAATGTGTAAGTTGCATACCAGAAGTCTCTGTGATTTACTGGAACATTTTTGTTCCTAAGGAGATTCAAACAAATTTTAAACTGTAACTCACTCATTGCCTTAGAAGAAAAATCAGAATCCAATTTTCACAAAAATTCTCCTATGAGCTGATGAAACAGGACTTAGCATAGATATAAAATTAGATATAAGATTTATATCTATGCTAAGATATATAAAGATATATGTATCTAATATACATAAGATATATATCTTTATATATTTTAGCATAGTTATAAATCTTACTAAGATTCAGCTGAAGCAAGGCTGGTTCCTCCAAAGAGAACATTGTGCAAACTGTTATCTTTCTAGGCTCCAGGACTTAAAGGTTCCTTTCCTGGGGTGTTCAATGGATAGCTATCAATAGAAATCACAATCTAACCAGACTGCATAACTGAAAACTATTCAGAGTACAGCTGTCCCCTGCAGTTTATAAAATTTTGCCAGAAAAATAAGTTTATGGAAGGGGAATCATTATAAATGGATTAATATTTTCCTTACTTATTATATTAACTATTATGCTAAAGGATAAGAATTTGTTGCTTATTCTGAGAAATAAATATATTAGAGGCACATCCTATTATTTAAAAAAATTTTTTTAGATGTTCATGAACCTTTATTTTATTCGTTTATTTATTTGCAGTTCTGAGAATTGAACCCAGTGCCTCACACATGCTAAACAAGTGCTCTACCACTGAGCCACCAACTAGCCCCCTTATAATATTTTCATATCATTTATCTTACTGATAATTTATAATGGAAATAATTAGAACCATTTCATATCATCTAACTTCATTTTATGGGAAGCAGTGTACATTTTAAAATCATCCAAAAATATAATTTGCTATGAAAAGCTGTGAGTGACATAGAACTTGACAAAAAATTTTTTAATTGGCTGGTATTGTACATCTTCTATAGATCAAATAGAACATAACTATGCTATGATGGCAACACAGCTCTGTCATTTGAACTGTATACTCTCAGTACCATGTGAAGCTTGGAGCATTAAATTTTGACATGGAAACAAACAAGTGAAGCCAACACCCAACATCCCCCGTGCTGCTGGCTGGCTGCACCTCTGTATGATGAACTCCCTGGCGCCGTCCCACAAGTGCCCATGCACAATCCACTCATCCACAGTCTGCAGGTATGGCCGCACTGTTTCCACCCAGAGAGAGAATAGGAGGGAGACCTACGGAGCAGAATATGCACAGTCAGTGCTCTGAGCTCTTGCTACTAAGGTGAGATGAGGCCTAAACATTTCCAAAATGCCTTTAAAAAGTGACTGGACTTCTCTATTTTTTAAAAAATATTTTTTTATTTGTTGATGGACCTTTGTTTATATGTGGTGCTGAGAATTGAACCCAGTGCCTCACACATGCTAGGCAAACGCTCTACCACTGACCCACAACCCCAGCCCTTAACTGTTTTTAAATGTCCTTAAGTGATTTCCAGAACTAGTTCATGATGTAACACTGAAACTCTGCACCCATTAAACAAGTCCCCATTCTCCATCCCCAGCCCCCAGTAGTCACCATTCTACTATCTCTATCAATGTTACTACTTTAGATGCCTCCTATCATAAAGGTGTGTTTTTTATGTAAAAAAAGAGTTAATACTAAGTATCTATAAGAGGCTTTGTCTTTGCCTCATTCTTCTGGAGATCTTGGCAACTAGAACTAAAAAGGTAGTTTCCTACAGTCTTGAATTTGGAAGCTAACTTTAAAACTCTAAGCAACTGTCTGACACATCATGATATAAACATCACTTAACAAATAACTGCAACAATTATCTACCACTCCTTCACCATTCACTGTACACCAAGTAGAGGTTCCACTTACAGTTTGCTCAGAGGCTTCTCCAACATTGTCATATTCAAGAATGGCCTTGTACAGGGTATTGAGCAGGTGAGATGCCCGGACAACATTCCGAGTGTCAGGGGGAACTTCTGCTACTCCAGTACTAAACACTTTGTGCAAAACCTTGAGCTGAGCCAATCGAGGTGAGAGCTTGTCCACTACTATTGCAAGAGTTATGGTGGTATCTGCAAGCATCAATAAAGTCAAATTCAACAGCAAGGAAAAACATCTGGGTCCAAAATATGATATAATTGCAAACAATGCTAAGCCACTTCTTTGGCTTATGAAAAGGCATGGCCAAACAGGTTTTAATTTCACATCACAAGAAGTCAATTTCCCTCAGGAAAATATAACCCCTGAAGTCAAGGAGAAAGACAAATCAGCAGAAAAATAATATATCATGAAATCTACAGTTCACAGAAAGGGAAAAACAGTGATTCTTAAACAAATGGAAAGACACTCAACCTCACTTACAATGAAAGAATGTGAATTAAAACTATATATGGATAAAATAAGAATAGACTCCTTTATGTGGTCTACCATTTTAGTGAGGGGGCAGAGGAGGCTGTGATTACAAAGGAGTGGCACATGAGCAAATTCCCATGTGGCAGGCCCAATTCCTTGTCCTGGATATGGAAGTGGGTGTATGGATTTAAGAGATAAAATAGCAAGATCACAAATATACTATGCCCCACTACCCCAAGTATGTAATGCTGGTGACCCCATACAGACTGGGCACTGTGTTATACCATATAACTTTCCCAGTTTTGATCCTACACTGTAATTATATAAAGTTTCACCACTGGGGGAAGAAGGGTGATGGGCACATGAGAACTCTGTAAACTCTATATACCACTCTTTTCAGTAGTTGAAAATAGAAGGAATTAAAAGAAAGAAAGAAAAACCAAAAAACTACACTGATGACTATTTAATCCTTGTCATATTGGTGAAGACCAAAAAGTGTGATAACACACTGTTGTTGAGAGATTGAGGAAAGAGGAGAGCAAGGTGAAAAAAATCTAGTAAAATCGCACATGCCATCAGATACTCTTTGATTCAGCAATTAAGTTTTTAAGACTCTACCCCACAGATAATATGCTCTGTGAGTCTGATTACTAAAATGTGTCAGTGGTTATCATGCAGCTGGGAAAGTAAGAGCAAAAGAGTAGAAATAATCTAAATGTCCATCAAGGGGGGCTAAGACTATGAGATAGCCATACAATGATATACCAATTTATAAAAAGGAACTAGGAGGTTCTCACATACTTTTACGGTATAATCCTCAAAATTTAAATCAGAAAACAACTTGAAGAGAGTAGTGTACTGACTACGAGGTATTTGTTTATGTCTGCACTACTTGCGCATGTCTAAACTGCTCTGGAAGGGTACATAAGAAGCTGAGGATCTGGTATCTCTGGGGAAGGGAATTGATTGGCTGGGGAACTGAATAGGAAAAACAATTTCACTTTAAATCCTTCTACACTTTTTGATTAGGAATATGAAAGGTTTAAAACTATAAATTCAAGAATAACTTAAAAACTGAATGCATGAGAATTACTTATTTGCCACGTAACTTTCAAACCTTATACTATTAAATAACTTAAATGGCATTTCAAATAAGAGTTATATATCTTATAAATTAAAGGATATTTAAATACCATTATTGATGATGGACTTCTCAATTTCTGTAAGTTCCTTTTTGAAGCTAATAAAATATTTGTACAGGGCCCACATGAAAGCCTGGTAGGTTCTAAAGGGAGCTTCAGTTGACTTTTTAGGAATGGAACCACTTCCAGGTAATGGGCTTTCGGAGCTGTGTCCCATGACTTCATCAATGAATTCCTGGAGTCGAAATACAACCTGGCCATATGCTGCAATTTGTTCCAGCACAGATCGTAAACAGCTCTATCATAGAAACAAACCCCAATTATATAAAGTCAGACTTCCATAAACATTCAAATTCATTGCCCCC